GTGCCCGGGCCCCTGCCAGCATGGACGGCTGGGGCTGTGGGGAGGAGAAGGGAGAGGAGGGAGGGCACTGCCTTACCAGCTTTGAGGAGCAGTTTGGTGAGGGTGGGGGAGCCCAGGCCAGCAGCCAGGTGCAGGGGAGTGTTCCTGGCAAAAGTCCGGCTGTTGACATCTGCTCCCAGCTATGGAGAAAGGCGCAAAGCTGTGAGCATGGGCTGCCTGGGTGCTGCCCCCCTGCCCCCTGTCACCCCAAGACCACAGGGGACCCCCCACTTCTGCCAGCGCCCTGTGGGAGGCTGCACCCCATCTCCATCCCACAGCCACCAACCTGCCCCCCCGTACCTTCTTCACCAGGTGGGTGGCCATGTTCAGGTTCTCCATCTCCACGGCCAGGTGCAGTGGGGTCCTCCCGCCCTGCCTCTCCACTGCATTCACGTCCGCTCCCTTCCTGACCAGCAGGTCCAGGCAGCCCAAACTCTTTGCCTTCACAGCCAAGTGTACAGGCAGAAGGCCTACAACAGGGGAGGAGGCGGCAGCCCTCTGGCTGAGCCCACAACGGCACTGCCAGGTTCCTGCCCCTCGTCTCCCAGCCCCACTCACCATGGAAATTGGGCAGGCGGAGCAGGTAAGGGGCAGCTGAGCCCAGGTGGGCCAGCAGCGTCCTCAGCATCTCTTCATCGCCAGCCTGGAGCGCCAGGTGCAGCAGGGAATTGCCGTAGCGGTCCAGCAAGGTGGGGTCGGCGCAGGCTTGCAGCAGGAGCTGGACCACTTGGGGCTGCTTGGTGATGACTGCCAGATGCAGCGGCGTCTGTGGGACAGCAGCACCCCTTCAGCAGCGCTCACAAGAGGAGCAGAGTCCTGCACCACCATCCTTGCCGGCGTGGCTGCACCATGCTCAGCCCTGCAGCCTCCCCTCAGCAGGAGCAGCAATGGAAGCCCCCGGGGTCAGGAAATGGGAGCCCCAGGTAGAGGAGCACCAGCTACTCTGGGAAACATGTACCTGCTGGAGGTTGTTGGAGATGTTGATGATCTGCTGGCTGGGGATGCTAACAATGACCTCAATCAGCTGCTTGATCACGGCCGTCTGCTCATGGATAATAGCAAGGTGCAAAGGCCTGCGGAGAGAGCAGGATGGCCCCTGGCTCAGCTCCACACTTCTCCAAGTCCTCCCTGCCACCTCCCACCCCCTAGAGCCCCCATCACGGCTCTGACGGCCAACAAAGCTCCCATACTCTCCCCCCAGACCCCTCATGCGCTCACGTGTCCCCATTCTCGTCCTGCGATGCGGCCAGGTGCCTCTGGACCGCCAGCAGCATGCGGGGGTCGGCAGTTACCGAGTAGTCGAGCAGGGCATGGGCATTGC